AAAAAAAAAAAAAAATGTCAATGCCAAGATTGTAATAAACTTTCCTTTCTGCTCTATCCTCCAATATCCTAGTCAATTTATCTGTCATATTTTCTACCTTACATATTGCTTTTTCTCCTTTGGTACGGTAAGTAATAACAAAAGTAGGAAGATTTTGACCTTCTGGAACTGGCTCCCCCAAAACAATGTTCTAATATTTAAAACTAAAGCAGTAAGTGGAAATAAGACAAATAATAACTAAGCAGATACTTTTAAGTTCTACAATTTTATAAAATGTAGATTTTATAATTCCACCTATAACTTATTCAATAAAAATGAAGAGGTCACATATTTAAACTTCTCTCTCCAAGGCTCACAGTTCTAACTGCCTAAATTTCACACAACTATTTGATATCTCTATAACTATACTGTATAGATTAATGTTAACTGGATCTGGTAGACTTAATGTGTAAGATACAGAAACAATTACAAAAATATAGCTGCTAAACAGTCATTTTTCATAACAGCAGAATATTTAATAAAATCTAAATCATCATAGAGAAGAAAGATGGGAATTCTGCCCTCCTAAGTCAGGCAAAAGAAAATCCCTAATGATTTCTTAAGTGTTTCCAACAAGTGTTAAGGGCTTTTAAAAATGAATACAGGTTACCTGTACTGTATAACACAGACTCATTCCTACTAGCTTTTCAGAATATCATTAATTGCCTATATCATCATTCAACACAGAAGTAGGTAAGATAGATGTAAAAATGTTCATGACAGTATAGGAAAAAAGGAAGTCCAAAAAGGGACATCATATACTAGAACATGTCTACTGCATTACTGACATCACTTCAGGTTGTCATAGTGTTTTAATGAAAATGCAAATAATGTCATCTTGCCCTAAATGAATATATCTTGTTCTACATGTGCCCAAAAGAGAAACTCAACTGAAGCAATTTGTAGAAAAGGCTACAGAAGGTAATTAAAACAGACTAGACAGAGAAGAAAAGAATCGAAAAAGAACGCAAGCAGGAAGGCAGAGAGGAAGGGAGGAAGAGGGAAGGTGGGGGAAGAATGGCAAGAACAAGAGTAAGCCCAACTATAGTGTATCACTGTTAATGATTAGATTTTTTAATGGCACTGATAGATTGAGTTCTCATCTGTGGGCTATCACACCTATGTTTTTCATATGTCCAAAGAAATGTTCAAATTTCATAAATATATCTAAACTATGAGCTATGAATATTACAAGCACATCCTTAAAATCAAATATAAACAAGAGAAATTAGTTTCACTAACATAATGGAATAACACTACTATTTATCAGTAGTATAATAGGTGTTGCTAAAAAATAGCTTGATATTTGATTTTTACAATTCTAAAATTTTTCATTTATGGAATAACTTTAGTTTTAAGTAAATACCAAAGACTGGGCAATTAAAAAAAATATTTTGGTAAAAAAATACTTTTTTTTTTAAGCTCAAGAACACAAATGCCATGTAAACATTACTCAGTAATATCTAGTATTTTATAGGCAAATAATTTACAAAATATCTTCTAATGTATTATCTTAATATGATCTAGAATCTTGGTATTTAACATGCCTATCTTTAATTTCTTATTTAACTACTGGAAACTGTGTTTTATACTTCTAAAAGTAGGGAAATTAAAAATTGAATTTGATTTTTTTATAGACAACAAAATACTTTATAAATTGGCAGAAGTCATCATTAGTGACAAAGTATTGCATGAGTTAACTGCAGTGACAAATTACTGAAAGTCTTAAAAATGTAAATACATTACAAGACAATGGTGGACATATGATTTCACATAAACAAAAAAATAGCTAATATGATTGTACCCAGCACCCTCTTTATAATACCATTCTTTTGTGGTTGCGCATTTCAAATGTTATAAAGAGGAGTTATTTTTAACTTGAGGGCAGCTATACTTAATTCTGTGGTCTTTTTAAACTACATATTTACAGGAGAGAGCCTTATAATGAGGGTGGAGAGTATTAAAAGCCACACTACACACACAATAGGCCATCATGCATTTTAACCCATTATTAAACTTACCCCTCTTTTGAGACTTCTGAAAGAAGGAATTCTGGGCTTCCCTGTTTTTATTTCATTCATACAATAATGCACGGGCTCAATGGAGAATGTGAGAAACTGGGACCCATTAGGAGTACTGGATGTGAATAAACTAGTAGGGGTTAAGGGTGGGGACTGTGGCTAATATGGAAATAAAGAAAGGAATCAATAAGCCAAATGTGCATAGTTTTCTCCTAAATGAAAATTCTATTTTTGGCAACATACTTTTCACAAAATAAATCTCAAAGTTTTCTATAAAAATGTTATAAGAATATTAACATAGTTTTGCCAAAACGGTCAGTTTAAGAAGTCAAATTTACTTTAAGAAATGTACCATTTCATTTGATCACTTTTTACAAAATGACATTAAAAATATAGAGTACACAAATTATAATGTCAGAGAAAGCAATATGACCTACATAAAAAAAATTCTCTTCTAATTTCTAGAACATTAGCACTACCTAACTGGTTATACTTAACCTGCACTTGTCAGAGATAAAGGCAACAGCTACAGGTAAAGTTATCTAAATAGATAATATATATTAAAACTGCAACTAATTATTATCACAAATAGGCAAAAAGTTTTCATTACATTTGTGGTTTTTCTCTCAGACTGTTTCTATTTCATCTTCATTGCACCTCATTTAAAAAAAAAAAAACTTCAGCAGTCCTGGTTTTTCTAAGCTTTCCTGTCTACTCTGATTTGACTTAAAAAAGTCTCACCTCTCAATTTCTCACCTGGAAAATATTAAAAGCATGAATAATGCTTGAGTTAATTATAAGTGTACTTCTGAAGAGATTAATAGGTATATTATGAGTTAAATTTATCTGCATTCTTCTGTCTAGATCAGAAAAATGAATTAAAGTCACCTATACTTTAATTAATAGAGCATATCAGATTAAAAGTACATATCTATTCCCGTACTAGATAGACACTATTATAAGCACTAAATTGGTAGGATTAAGCACTCATCTATTCCATTTGCTCATGCTGCTGAACTAGATTTATCTAACATATACAGCACATCAAAAAATGGGTTCCAACAAGAAGTTAAGAGAGATTCTCTTAGTAAACTGGAGATTTTTAAACTTCAAATAACCACAAACATTGGGCCCCTCCCATTAAACATTCACATGGATGATAAAAATAACTTCATTAGTACGATCTATAAGACCTAATGTGACATTTATTATTGCTATAGTCAATCATTCATTCTAATAGAGAACTGCAATTTTGGTGGTCTTATAGTTAGATCACAACGTTTCCTTAGAAATTCTGATTGAAACTGCATACAAGTGAAATTTCAAAAGCATATAATTCAAGAGGTATTAACAACTATTTAACATTTTTACTCATTAAGTGGTGGTCAAATGTTAACTCCAGAAATAATTTTTACTATTAAGATACAAAACTATGTTTCTAATAAGTGAAAAGTTAACTGAATCATTCAGATAAAAATACTTATCTCTATTAATAGTAAGCCATTATCCACTCCACACCTACATTGATTTAAACGACACACTAAAATAAAACTATTAGCATAGAGGAATTTCATGACTTTTACCTTTGGCTTCTTTCCAAAAAGCCACAACTTGCCCTTGGCCTTTCCTACTGTGGTTTTGGCATCCATCTTCCCACTTTCCTGTTTGGATGCACTGATAGTCCCATCAGAAATGGTTCTATAAATATGTTGACTGTAATCTTCAAATGGAAAATCTCCTGGAGGTTCAAATCCAGACTTAAAGGAGTCCACTACCATTTGAGAGTCCTACACATAAGAAACATGTTTTTAAAATCATTTCATTTATTTTTAATACTGTTAGCTGTTAAAAATTTACTCAAGGAAACAACCAACAAAAATTTAAAGGAAATAATTCTACAGATAATAATTAAAGGTTAAAGTGAATAATTTCTTCTGGTGGATTAGTAATAAGCCTTAAATATTTTAATCCCAATAAAATACGAATTTATAATCAAATTAACATTTTATTAGTTCGTAATATTCATGAAGTGTTTTCATTCCACAACTTCAACCCACTGAAATTCATCTGAGGACAAGTTAGTTGATAAGAAAGATCTAACTGACAAAAGGAATATAGGAAGAGGTTAGTCTCAAGTAGAAATTCTAAGAAGTTTCAGAGGAAAAAGGCTTTTTGCTTTATAGGATATCTACAAAAAGTTGATCTTTGAAACAGGGGAAAAGGCATCTATGTAAAAGAGTAAGAGGTAGAAAGGCTTTCATGCATCCAACAGGGGAAAAGATAAAATATACTGAAGACAGTTGGGAATGTTAACTGAACAATGGAGAAAGATCTGACAAACAACATTAAATACAAAAAGCAACTTTAAAAATATAAAGTTCTACTTCCCCTAAAACTTTAAAACTCACATAACTATACTATATATTGTCTTTGGAATTACATACCACTATCCAAATGTTCTTCTGACACCTTAAACTCATTATTTTCAAACAGAATACTTTATCTCTTATAAACTCCTCCTGTTTAAAACCCTTCTCTTTTATTCCCTATTTCTGTTCATTGTACATTTTGCTTGTCATTTAGTCAAAAGTTATCTGTTAAGTCACACCTTAGTTTTGTCATTAACGCCACCCTACCAATCACTTGCTAAAGGATGAGAAGAATGAGAGAGAAGGGACCTAACTACATTTGTAACCTTGTAACCAGCCATATTGAAATATAAATGTACTTCTGAATTTCTGATTAAAGAACCCTAAAATCCTTTTATTTTTAAAATTCAAGTCAAAATTCTATTTGTTACAGAAAAAAAATCCTCATTAATATAATACCAACTTGCTACGAAGACTAAAATATGTGGTATATATTTAGCACTCCCCCAACACTGGTTCTCTTCTCTTGCTCCTTCTTCATAACATAAATTTCTGCCAACTACCCTTTCTGGTCACTCAATCAACATTTACTGAGAAATGACCAGGTACAAGATTCTTGCTAGACCTTAATTAAGACAGGTTAGTGGATATACTTTCTCAAGGGGAGCAGGGCTATGCTGTTCCTTCTACTGCCCTTTCTTTTTTCCCATTACTCCATACACTACCCACAGTTCAAGTGCCAACTCTTCCATTAAAAAGCAATTCTTATAGTAACTTTATATCTATTTCTTTCTCTAAACTTTCACTAGAATAAGAGTACAACACAGTTTGTAACCTACAGTTCACAGGTTGTGTTATACTCTTGGAGTAGAACTGAAAATTTAGTCAGGGGAAAAGGAAGGATTAAAATTTTCTTTCAAAACAACTAGAATTTTGGTGTTCAGAACAGTCTTAAAAGCCCAAAGGAGTCCACTGAGTGCCTGGGTGGCTCAGTCATTTGGGCATCTGACTTCGGCTCAGGTCATGATCTCTCATTCCATGAGTTTGAGACCCATGTCAGGCTCTGTGCTGACAGCTCAGAGCCTGGGGCCTGCTTCGGATTCTGTGTCTCCCTCTCTCTCTGCCCCTCCCCTGCTCACGCTCTCTTTCATTCTTAAAAATAAATAAACATGGGGAAAAAAAAAAAAAAAGCCCAAAGCAGTCCAATCTATTGCCAGACTTCTACAGAATATAAAGTATAATCAGCTACCCATCAATTACTTCACCCCTTTCCCAATTCATTTCACCAACTGAAACTGCATATGCAAACCAAATACATTTATTCAAATATAATTATATAGCACTTACTCTTCTTTCATCAACTGATTTTGCGGCGAGAATCATTCCTTCCAAACACTTTGAAATGATAGGAATAACTTTGCGTTCTGAGTCTGCAAATCCTCTGTAACACTCACTGAGTTTAATAGTCCTTCGTTCATCCATTTCTTGTAGTTGCTAATAATCAGAATTTTTTTTAAAAAAGGGAATATTAAATTTTCTTTTCATTCTGACGCAACCCCACCCCCCAAATTAGGATTCTACACTAACAGTCACACTGTTGTTAATACCTCTTCAACAGTCTTACAGTACTTAAAACCTGAGACTTGTTACATAACACAAGGGAAAAAAAAAAAAAAAAAAAAATCAAGCCTTTCAGCACATCCTAAACCAGGTGACACTGGTTTTCAAATATTCTAAAGGGATCCCCTAACAGGCTACGAGCTCCCTACCTCATACCACCTCCACCTTTCCATTCTTCAGTCAGAGCAGTTGTCTATGCTTCCAGGAAAAGCTGCACTCGAAAACAGAATTTTGATGGGTTTTTTTTCTTTCTTTTTAAGCAATTAGCCTGTAACATATATAAATCTGAGAGTTCTAAGTCCTTAAATTAGTTCAGATTACTTTGGTAAGATCTCACTGGATTAAGGATCCATAGTTGCCTGAATACCAACAGGTACTCAGACCTACCAGTCAGTCTACTGCTCAGTAACTATCAAAGGATTGGGGATACAAGATGAAAACAGGAAGCCAAAAGGTGAAAGTGGTACATACAATGGAATCCCCACAATTCAAAAATTTACTGGCACATGCCCCTAAGAATTATGCTATGACAAGTGAAGCCAAATAACTTACAGGCATTTTTGACCCTTAATATTTGCCGACACTACTAACCTTTTTCTCCTAGGACACAGCTACACTGTTCAAGTCCCCACACTCCCACAGCCTTTATACCAGCTTTTCCTCTCTACTTCCCAAAGCTTGTGGATTTACTCTGACACCCACATTTTCACAAAGGAACTGTTCCCAGCATTACAAAATGGCAAGACTGGGGGCACCTAGGTGGCTCAGTCAGTTAAGTGTCTGACTTCGGCTCACGTCGTGATCTCGTAGTTTATACATTCTAGCCCCACATTGGGCTCTGTGCTGACGGCTCAGAGCCTGGAGCCTGTTTAGGATTCTGTGTGTCTCTCTCTCCCTCTGCACCCCCCCCCCATCCCCACCCTCCAGCGCCATCCCACTCATTCTCTCTTAAAAATAAACAAACACTGAAAAAAAAAATGGCAAGACTGCTCCACAGCAAGGTTCAAACAAAAGGATTAAGCACAAAACACAGTTTTGGTCTCCCCACAACATAATGGCTTGGCTGGAGAGCCTAGAAAAGCACCACTGAGTGATGATGACTAGATGCTAGTCATGAGGCTAGATGCTCTGGATTAAATGACTGGAATATGATACCCACTCTAGGCCACCATCTCTAACTATGCTTCCTTTGTACTGCTAATTTGCCTTACAACGAAAAAGAAAATGTATCTGGGCTGACAACTCTTTCCATATAAGCTCTGCTCTCCCAGATACTACTTTCAACACTTTTCAATCCCTTTACTCTAATTTCTCTTCTTTCTAGAATAAGCAGTAACATAACTTAACCCTCATATAAATTCTGGGTCTTTACCTCAGGCTGTTTGGCAACTGTTTATCATCAAGTGATGACGGATGGAATTTGTAAGCAAACTCACGGCCTGAATTACATTTATGATCTGGCAACTAGGAAGACAAGCAGGCAAAAACCAGGCTAGCAAATACATTTCATAAGATTTATTTCTGCCACCTGGGGTAATGCCAGTAACTCTGGTATAGTGTCAAAAAGCTATATCCCAATTCTAGGTAAGCAGCTTACCAAGAACAATTCCAGTGAATCCCCCCTATGTCCTAATACTGAATGATACAGTATTAGAATTTATCTAGAAAATGTCATTGTTTTACTGGACTGTTTATTACACTAATAATTATTCAGTAGGAAAATTCATGATTTCAAAGTTAGGAAAAATTTACTTTTCAAATCTATAATCATAAAAAAAGTTCTTATCACTAGTCCTGATGACTAGTGAATCTAGAAACATCCTGGTTGATGCCTCAAATTTAAAAGTTTCACATATAAAAAGACTAGCTCTTCCAACTCTAAAACTAGATTAATTTCACATATCTAAACTTTACCTTGTAAATTTGAGGAATCACTACGTAGAAATGTTTGTGCTGTTCTCCATTAAAGTTTTGTAATTGTGCCGCATATTCATTTTTATTTTCATCAGCCATATGTGTACGCAGATTCAACTGCTGTTTGGCCTAGAGACAAATTGGTCCACATCATTACCAACACAAATAACAACAACAAAATGATACCTGATTCATTTTTCTAAAAGTTATGCTAAACCTAGACTTTTTCCAACTATTAATATCATTTAAAATTTAAGGAGTTGCTTGCATATCTTATGGACAGAGCACTCTCCTATTGCAGCAATCCTTTTCTTTTTGCAACCGTCCTTCCCTTTGCAATAATCTGTTCAAATAAAGTTTCTCCTTACCAAATCCAGACTTTTTAAAATTAAACAAATGACAACATTATGGCTTGACCTGCAACAGTATGCTCTTAACCAGAAGAGGAAAAACACCATAGAAATACTTTAGACAGTTAACAAGTTATAGTAAAACATTTAAAACATGATCCACTTATATGCAACTCAGAACCACAGTGAAACACTAATGATTAAATATATGATTTTTGGATATGGTAATACTCAACAATGATTTCAGTCTCTATACAAAACCAAAGGTACTTTCAGGAATGATTATTTAGAATATAGTTCTGTTCATCTCAAGCTCTTAGAGAAATGCTTTTTGAATAGGTCACATCAGCATCATCTACATTGGTAAGAACATTAGAATACTAACATAAAATCATTAATTCTAGATTTATTGGAGGGGAATCTAAGTAAATTTCTCAATTACTCTAATGTAGTAAGAAAAAAAAGAAAGAATTGAACTCCATTTTTCATAGTGCTCCAAGGAACCAATCATGTTATATGAGAGTGCTCTGGAAGTTGTAAAACACATTAATACACTTTATTGTTCTAATTCCATTTTCTACAAAATGTAGTCTCTAACCCTCTAACAGTAGGTCCACAAGTTAGTTCTTGTGAACTCAGAAACAAACTGACCTGTGGAAATACACAGTAGCCAAGATAATAGAGAAGCCCACAAAAAAAACAATTTAATCTACAGTGTACTTGAAGATTCTAATACTTAAGTACTATGGAAATTAAACACCATAGCCCGAAGTATTTCTACAGAAAAATACATTTGAAGTTCTGGGACCTTAAGTACACATTCATTTACTTCTTCCCCCTTTCTCCCTGTTCCCACAAACTATGATGGAATAGAGGAATCCAAATTATTCCCTACCCACAATGGTCAGGCGAAACGGCTCCTGTTCTAAGTCACTGGCTGTGATTCCTAAAGCCTAGGGCAAAGGTTCCAGCAGGGCATATAGGAGTGTAAAGCTAGAAACTAGAACAACTGAAGCCCCCCTGTGGGCTTCATACTTAACTGCCTTTTTTTTAAATATTACATTAAATTTTTTTTTTATTTTTAATTGTTGTAAAACACACAATATCATCTTAATTGACCATCTTAATCATTTTTAGGTGACCAGTTCAGGAGTGTTATGGTATACTCACATTGTTATGCAACTGCCTTTCTTTTCTTTAGAAAGATCAGTAATAGGCTTGCTCCTTCTTCACTTTTTTTTTTAAAACTTTTATCAGTAATTGCTCAATTGAAACTATGTTCCTTTCTCCTACCGGTCACTTACAACAGAATCCCTCTACTCTATAGTTCCTAAAGCAAATCCTCAAAGTTTTCCTAATTCTCTAATAAGTAAGGAGGTTGCAAACAAAGGAGTATAAAAAGGAAACTATAAACATTAAAATTCTTAAGTTAGGTCAAACTATTAACATATTCTATCTAGATTTCAAAATGTCTAATTAGTCTCTAAAGAGATCTCTATAGACAAAATAAAAAACATAAGTTAAATGAAGAGTCCAGTTAGAGTCCCTTATCTTGCCTAGTACCTAAGCTATGTATTCCAATCAATGTTTGATAATAAATCAAAGGAGTTTTTAAGGAGTGTCAACCAGCAAGCAAGCCTCCCATGTATACAACACTGTTTGCAACTGTTGTGATCCACATTTTTATCAAATAATAACAACACATTATGTGCATGACATGATGCTAGGAAGGAAATGAATATATGGATGATCAAAATCAGGGTCCAAAAATCTTAACCGCAGAGTTAAGTCTAATAATTGATACAGATGTACACACACATCTAAAATACCAACAGTACAAGTTATGAGACACATGTTCTCATATCACACCATATGTGAAAAGACATGGGGTTAACCATAAACCCAATGGGAGTCCATCCAAACAATGTGGTTGCTCAAAAAAAAAAAAAAAAAAAAAAAAAAAAAAAAAAAAAAAAAAAAAAAAAAAATCAATATATATTTAGGCCGTAATTAACATAAATTTGGTGTTCAAAATGAGTGAGGTAATCAAACTCTGGACTGATCAGACCATTATCTGGATTATTACATCCAACTGGAAGTTAACATAATTTAGGTGGGATACTGACAAATTAACAGGTATCCAAAGGAAAACAGTCATAATGAAAAGTGACTTAAAGCCATTTCCTCAGTAGAATAAAGAAATACAATGGTTCATCTAGGGACAGAGAATCTGCTATGAATATCTAAAGAGCTTTATGTAGAAAATACAGAATACTTTCCCAGTACCTCAAAGAAACTAAAACTAAACACAGCGATCAGTGGGATCAATATAAGGAAACGCTAGAGTTGGAAAAATCAAAAAAAGAACAAACTGCCTTAAGTCTGTGTATTTCCAATGACAAGGGACTTAACTATCATTAGAGGTATAAAAAGTCATTAAGAAATAGGGTAGAAAAAAATAAAACCCTCACAAGTTAGACTAGAAGGACTTTAAGATAATTGTAATCTGAATTTTATATAATTTTATGGCTTTAAGTGGTAAAGAAAATGGAATGCAGAAAATTACCCCTCTGAAATGTCCAATGTTCTAAGATAAAGAACATACAGCAAAGAAGGAAAAGCTAAGCAGCAGTAGTTAAGGGCTGATCCTTACAAATAGTTAGGTTATAAAACATCTGGCCCAGAATCAGCGACGAACAGTTCAGTTTTCCAAAATGAATGAAAGAATGAATGAAACAAAAACATAAATAGCTAACTAACATCACATACTTCTGACACTTTTATCTTGTTTTGCCTTGGGTCAAGTTAGGGAAGCACACTACCCAACCCCCAGTTGCATACCCCATCAACATACCTTAGACTTCCTATTCTGTTTTGGAATAGGATAGAAATTCATTCTTTTTTTTTTTTTTTAGTTTAGAAACTCATTCTCAATAGCAATTATATCTTTCCTATGCATTCTGAATGCAGTTAAGACATTACAATAAAATAAACACAATCCGACTAACATGTGATTTGAACTACACAAATATTTGTATATTTTAGATTTAGACGTAGTGTTTCTCTTGGAGAAATCTAAGACTAATACAAATATTACAATGACCCTCCACATGCAAGTAATAATATTTTTATATCAAAGTCAGTTTGGATTATTTCTTACCTTTTCAACATCTGCCTTGGTTGCGTTAGTATCATTATCCAATCTTTCATAACTCTGTTGTGCCTTTTCTGCCTCTCTACATTCTCTTTCAAATTTCTTTTTACTCTGTTTAAAAAATTAAAATATCACACTAAGAAATAAAATTTACCTCGTAACTTTAAAATGTTGCCACTGTACACTGTATAGAATTACACACTAAAAGTAAATTTTTTCTAAAGTAGAAAAGAAATTTTAGTATTACAAATAACCCATGTGACTTAAATATCAGACATTATAGACTGTGAAGGAAAAAAAAATCATAGGCATGCCTGAGTTAATATTATATACTTCATCTTTTGCTAGGAAGAAAAAAAAATCACATGTATTTTCTAATTATTTATTATAAGCTCATCTTCAGAGGACTTTGTGCTTTGTGTGGTGTTTTGTGTTTGGTTTTGTATGTTTATTTGGTTGTTTTTGGTGTTTGCTTGTTTTTATTTTTTGTGGTGGGATGTGGGAATGTCCCTCCAAAGTGGTTTCCTACTGTTTTTTCCAGGTGTCTCAGGAATACCATTAGCCCAGAACTCGGCCTTTAAATTTTTTTTTATTTAATACAAATTGCTACGACTTGGTAAAAGCTACTCATAATAGAGCCATGCAATATATACCATATTTCCTTTCTTGCATACTTTTTAAAGTTTTTAAATATTTATTGGGGGGGAGGGGCAGAGAGATGGAGACACAGAATCCGAAGCAGGTTCCAGGCTCTGAGCTGTCCGAAAAAAACAAACTTTTTTTTTTTTAATTCCTAGACTAAATTTGCTTAGTTTTCAATGTACCTTTTTACATACTTTTGTAAATGTACTTTTAAGTCAACTCTAGTTTACACAGTTCTTTAAAAATCTGTCCTCGGGGCGCCTGGGTGGCTTGATTGGTTAAGCGTCCGACTTCGGCTCAGGTCACGATCTCACGGTCCGGTCCGTGAGTTCAAGCCCTGCGTTGGGCTCTGTGCTGACAGCTCAGAGCCTGGAGCCTGTTTCAGATTCTGTGTCTCCCTCTCTCTCTGCCCCTCCCCTGTTCATGCTCTGTCTCTCTCTGTCTCAAAAATAAATAAACATTAAAAAAAAAAAAATTTTTTTAAATCTGTCCACAGTTAATTCAAACATATTCAGAATTCTATAAATTTTACTTTCTTGATGAGATCTCTTCCAAAGGCTTTGACCTACCGAAATTTGGGTTATTGAAATTTGGATTGGTTACACCAAAGTGGACCTACTACATAGCTGTTACCCTGCAATTTCCCTTCACCATTATCAGATTCCTTTTACCTCTCCTTTGATTTGAATCTCCTATTTCCCAATTCCACACCTTCCCCTTTCTTGGTTCATTTCCTTATTTTGCTAGAACACATTCAGCAGTAGCTTCCTAGAAGATTTGTGGGAGCTAAGTCTCCATGGCCAAAAATAACTTCACCAACACTTTTAACTGATAAAATTTGGCTGGGTATGAAACTGTTGGAAACTGTCTTCCTTCAGAAATGTAAAAGTGCTAACCACTCCACTAACTTCTAGCTTCCTGCTCCCATTCTGATTATTGATCCTTTGCATAAAACATGTTTGTTTTGGGGGTGTCTGGGTGACTCAGTCGGTTAAGTGTCCAACTCTTGTGGCTCAGATCGTGATCTCACAGTTCGTGAGTCTGAGCCTCACACTGGGCTCTGCAATGACAGTGCAGAGCCTGCTTGGGATTCTCTTTCCCCCTCTCTCTCGTTCATGCTCTCTCCCCCAAAATAAATAAACTTTAAAAAAAAAGTTTTTCTTAGAAAAGCCCACCTCTCAGTGTAGCTGAAAACAGCTGATCCTTGCCACATCTGGAGCATGGTTAAATAATCTCATCCTGTCAAAGGCACCCATTAGAAAGTCTGCTGGGGATTTTTCTGAAAGTTTTCCCTCCCTGATAAAAAGGAACAGTTAGAAAAGAAATGCCCTCTTCTTCCTGCTTCTGCATGCAACTGAATGAGGATGTGGTGCTTGGCTGCTTCATTCAACTCCTGACCATAAGGGGACAAGCCTGAGGAAAAATGCCAACGTGGTCAAGATGGCAAAGTAGACACAGAGAGGAGAAGCAGCCTTAGTGACATCACTGAGCTATGGACCAACTCTGGAACTGCTCCATTTCTGAGCCCTGTTCTTATAAATCTGCATGCTCTGTTTGTTACCTAAACCCACTAACCGATAGACCTGGCATCTTTGGTACTTTTTTCATATTAATCTCTCACCATTCCTTCAAAATCTTCTTTGCAGGCTATTCTCTTCTGCCCTCCATCTTTAATACCAGGGTGGCCTATTTTCATTATCCTGTGATTCATACATAACTGTCTTTTAAACTGTCTTCCTCAATTTTCAATACTCTGTCACTAATTTAGCTTATTTCTCCCAGTTCTTTAAATCTCCTCTCAATAATTTCAAAAATATTAATAATCTTACAATTTCATTTTCTTGATTAAACAAGATGGAGAAGAAATGGGATCCTGCACATATTTCGACAAATTCCACAGAAATTATAATTGTCTCCCTCACTAGACCACAGGCTCCACAAAAATAAGGACTACGTCACTAATCACTTTTTTCACTATTCACTTTTGTACCAGGACTCAGTACATGTCAAGGATGCCTCCAATAAATACGAGTTGAGCTGAACTCACCTTTAATGGTATTGCTAATCAATGTCTTAAAGACATTACTCCCACATTTTGTTTTGATGCTTCTTTCTTGTGACCCCTATAATTTTTGCTTATTAACTGTCAATTATTCTTTTTTTTTTAATTTTAATGTTTATTTATTTTTGAGAGAGAGAGAGATAGAGAAAGACAGAGAGAGACAGACAGAGGGCAAGCAGGGGAGGGGTGCAGAGAGAGGGAGACACAGAATCTGAAGCAGGCTCCACACTCTGAGCTGTCAGTACGGAGCCCAACACGGGGCTCTAACTCATGAACCGCGAATCATGACCTGAGCTGAAGTCGGACACCCAACTGACTGAGCTACCCAGGCATCCCTGTCAATTGTTCTAAAGGCAAGTCAGCACATAACAAAAATAATTTGTGTCAACACAAGTTTTTAAAGGGACCAATGACTCACGAGTGTAGGAGTCTGTTATTATGTGCAAATGAAAACACATACATACTCATTAGGTGGCAGATTCTAAGAATGCTAGTTAAGGTAATTTAAAATTTAATAAATGTAAACACTCCCTAAAAGTCTTGTTAAAACCAATTAGAATGAAAATGAAAACAAAAATGAAAGAGACTATTAATAGAACTAAAAATTCTCAATCAGCACTGGTGCCTAGAATCTTACATCAATGATATTCATACAGTAGAAATTTAACCTAAGGTTTGAATATGTGTTTTTTTAAAAAAACATTTATTGAGAGAGAGAGAGAAACATGTGTGTGTGTAGGGAAGGGGCAGAGAGAGACAGAGACAGAGACAGAGACAGACTCTTAAGCAGGCTCGGTGCTGTCAGCACAGAGCCCGACGCAGGGCTCAATTCCACAAACTGTGAGTTCATGACCTGAGCCAAAATCAAGAGTCGGACGCTTAACCAACTGAGCCATACAGGCACCCCTAAATATGTGGTTTTAAAACAAGAAAAAATGGCCAAAAACACATATATACACGAGGTTTTTTCATCTCAAACTTAAAAGTCCCTTTCCCAACAATTACAAACTAAACTGATTAACATAACATGAAAAACTCCTTTTAGCATAATTTCCAAGGAATACAGTGTCCATAATAAAAATACGCAAGTAAAGAGTAAGCTGCTTGCGAACCTGAGGGTTCAAAAAGAATATTAATCTTGTACTACAGAACATCATTTGGCGGAGAATTTTAAGGAAAGGAGACAACAATGTTCCATGCAGACATATTGTTTTTCAAATGACTGTATGCCAGAATATCTAAGAAAAACCACATTAGCAAGTACCTTTGGAAAGTTTTTATAGTAAATAATTATTGCACTTTTATAATTTTATCTATAAATACTATCAAGTATTTTCTTTCCTATAATTTGAATGGTCTATGACCAGGAGTCCAGTACTAGGAACATTTTCATGATAGAATCACTGAACTGGAAGAAACATTTCACAAATCTAGTCCACAATCTTCAATTTTCATATTCTAAGGATGAAATCAAGAGAAATCATAAAAGGTACAACTACGATCTAAGTCCTCTCAGTCTCTGTCAAATGGTCTTCTAAGATACATCACTATTAATATCCCCATTACTCCTACCCTGTTATCAATAGTTTATAGTAACGACTGCAAAGTCAAAAACTGCTTTCCTAAACATTTACAGATATCTGAAGACCACAGGGTTGGCATAAGTATAGAACCATACAGAAAAAAATAACAAAATGCACATTCTCTTTTTATACCAATGTTAAAAATGAATAAATACATAGAGAAATATTCAACTCAATAGATGTGAAGCATAGGAGAATTTAGGGCTAAACTAGTCTATAAAATTTTATGTTAAGCATGAAGACACTATAACTCACATTATCCATCTGTTTCCAGCACATATCAAGATACTGTTGAGCTTTTCGTCCTTCTTGAAGATGCTGAAGATCATAACCAAAGAAAAAAAAAAAACAAAAAAACAAAAAACAAATAAAACAAACAAAAAATTACATTTAAATACTAAAAGTCTTTAAAAAACCCAAACGCTTTCGCTTAATTTTTTTAAGGTACTAATTATATAACTTGATATCAAGACTTAGGAAGAGATTATTAGTAGAGCAAAACTCTCAAATGCATTTTATAGGTATTATCTGAATACTGTAAGCATAACCTTTAAAACAGATATAATTTCTAGAAAAATACATATGTCTTAATTAAGGGTTGACAAATGTTTTCTATAAAGGGTCAGATATATATCTTAGGTTTTGCAAGCCATGTGGTCTCTGTTACAGATATTCAACTTTTCTGATATAATCAAAAGCAGCCACAGGCAATGCATAAATGAGTAAGTATGGGCCTGTTTCAATAAAACTTTATTTATAGTCACTGAAATTTGAATTTCATACAATTTTCACATACCATGAAATATTCTTTTGATCTTCTTTTCAACTATCCAAAATGTACAAACCATTCTTAGCCCATGGGAACTAAGAAAAACTGGCAGTAAGCTAAATTTGGCACATGGGCTGTAGGTTATCAAATCTTGGTCTTAAATCCAAAAAGGTTACAAATTAGCAAGAGTATCTTAAGATGATTTTGGCTAGAAGAAACTGAGTGAAACAGAAAACCAGTTTATACTGAACAAACATTACTTTGAAAAGCAAAGTAATTATGTGAAAATATTTCATATTATATATAACTGGATAAAAACAATAATTACCATTTTTCTTTCAGTTTTCAGATCATGAGCATATCTCATTAATTCACCATAAACTCTGTGTGCCATTTCTTCTGCTACTACTTCTCGTTGTCCTGCATAGTCATTCAACTCGTTAAGGATGTTAAAAAAGGCTATACACGAGGTAAACCTGACAAAAACATATTAAAAAATGGTGAAATTTCCTTTATTTTCTTTACAAATGTTTTTTGTGAGGTATGGATTCAGCCTGACACTTGACAAATTTTAACATACTCAACCTAACTCTTTCTTCACTACTAACTCCAAATTAACTTTGTATGAAAGAATCCCATATTAAGCTCAAGTTGTATATGTTTGTATACTTTCAAGTAGTCTTAATTTATAAATAAAGGGATATATGGGGTCAAAAAATATTAAGAATACTACCTGCAGGCTCTTTTGACATACTGGAATCTCTTAAGTAGCCAAGTGACTGGCCTGAGCTGGGGTGACTGGCCCACTTGGTTGGATTCCTAGGAATGGCAGCTGAACCTGGTGCAGAGATGATACGCTTGCTCTCGAGGACAGAACCTGCCAATCATACCACTCAAATGCATCTCGATGGCTGATCTACAGAACAATTTTGCTATCAGCTCTGGACACAGCTGCTTGTATGCCTGCCCACATCCTGAATGGAAGTAAAGTGCCATTATAGTTGGCACCAAAAGAGGGGTAAGAAGGGGCAAAAATAAGGGTAAAAAATGTGTGTGGAGAGAAGGAAAGAAACAAAGAGAATTGCTGTACTAAAATGTATAGATCTACTCTGAATACACTGCCAGACTATTCTTTTGGCTGAAGGCAAATAGCTCAGATAGAACTCCGTTAACACTAAACCTAAGAATCCTAACAATTAACAATTATACACAAAGCTGTTTTAAGTCTAGTCTCTTTGTTTCTGCATTTCAGAGCCATCCACATACCCCTGTTTAAGACCAAAAAGCTCATAAGTAATTCCCAAACTTTTATTCAGAGTTCCAAGATTACCCTGACAACCTCATTCCTTTTCATTATCCCTTTAAACCGACCAGCCAAACTATCTTAATACCTCTAAGAGTAAAAGCAAGAATCTAATAAGCTAACAACTACAGAATCAAGTATGGAAAAAATACGAAAGACTAAGTGACTCAAGTGAAGTCCCACATACTTCAACTATTTCAGAAAACTGAGCCCACTGAAATATTCATTCTTATTAAAGTTGTTCCTTCTTCATATAACTGTGATTTAATTAAAACTTTAAAAAATCATTATAAAGGGCTAACAGCATATTTATTTTACTAAATAACACAAATATTAGTATTTTTTAAATTTTAATATGCAATAATAAACAGGTGTAGAATTTACCTTGGCTCTTCATCTTTGGAGGAACGTTTGGGACAGTACTTCTTAACCAGATTTCTATAGGAAGAAAAAAATTTTTTAACGTACAAAATATACTACTACTAAAACTGAAATATTCTCTAAGTTGCCAATTTCATGATATCAAGAATTTAATGATAAAAAACAAGACAGCAGTATAATCATCTACTACCATTAACATATTATCTCTACATTTTGTTCTGAAAATACTGGTATCTGTAAAAGGAAATGTTATTATCTGTGTTTGTATGAGTGTAATCATAATAATAAGGATGATTATGCTAGCAAATAAGCAAAGAGGAGGAAGAGAAGAAACAAAGTACTCAGTGTATGACACTGAGTCACAGCAAAAAGACATGTACTTCAAAGACATACCATCACTATTTTGTTTTGCAAATCAGATATTTTAAAATGAACTAAGATATGAAAACAAATGCTGATTCACTAATAGGATAAAAGAACAGTTGGTCAGCATCCTCCATAATTCTACTTTTATATGAACATCATTATGGGACCCTTCACATTCTCTTTTTTTAAGGCATATTAATTACACTTATACTGCAACTTTCTTTGCCTGCATCTACGTCCATTCTAGACAGTCTCAGACTAACATGCTACCTCATCTCATCTTTGCAAACTCATAAGAAGACTAGAACATGGACTCTGAAGTAACACTATACTACCTGGGTTTGAATCCTGGCTGTTTTGTGTGGCATCTAGTGTCCTTGGATAATTCACTTGCCCAATTTCCTATCAATAGCAATAACAGTACCTACACCCCACAGGGTTATGAAAATTAAAGTGGATAATATTTGTAAAGCATTTAACACAGTGCTTTATACAGTTCTCAAAATATGGTCCATGGACAAGTAAAGCTCCACAGATTGTTTGTGACTAATCCACAAAAAGCTAAGTACACAAGTTGAGAGTAAGTTTATGTCTATTGAATCTAATAATAAAAAAATTGGTGCCTGTATTTTACATGTCTCTTTTTTATGACATTTTTTCTGGCATTAAATTTTTATTGGATTTTACAAAAGCAACAATACACAATGAATTGGAAACTCAAAAAGAAACTAGTTCATCAACACAAATATGATATATACTGCTTTAACCTATAGGCATTTAAAAAATAAATGGCCCTATGGCCTTTCAAATAAATACTTCAAAAGAAGCATTGTTCTAATTATTCTCAAATCATTATCAATTCATTCCATTTAATTCAGCTTATTCATTCTATAATTATCCTCTATATGCTAGGCACTGTGCAAGTTACTGGGAACATTAGAAATGAGAGAATATCCACATTCAAGATTTACATTCCATTGAAAGGAATACAGAAGTATATACCAATAATTACAACATACAACATAATAACTGCTATGATAAAGGTATGCAAAGGATGCTATAATACAAAAGAGGTCTTAACACCCTGAAGAGTCAGGGGAGAGAACAGGCAAGACACTGAGGAGGGTTACATTTACCAAGTTAATTAAAAAACTCATAGTCACCACTGGTTGTAAAACAAGGTACAGGATAAAAGCTTCAGGCCTTACATTTATATACTTGTTTACCAAAAGTTTAATAGAAAGGAGGGGAAGGGGCCCCTGGATGGCTCAGTCTGACTTTGAGTGTCTGACTTTGGCTAGGGTCATGATCTCACAGTTCCTAAGTTCAAGCTCTGCATTGGGCTCTGTGCTGACAGCTCAGAGCCTGGAGCCTGCTTTGGACTCTGTCTCCCTCTCTCTCTGACCCTCA